TTCTTCATCCATTCTTCCATTGAAGGACATCTAGGTTGTTTCCAGGTTCTGGCTATTACAAATAATGCTGCTATGAACATAGTTGAACAAATACTTTTGTAATATGATAGGGCATCTCTTGGGTATATTCCCAAGAGTGGTATTGCTCAGTCCTGGGGTAGGTTGATCCCGAATTTCCTGAGAAACCGCCACACTGATTTCCCAAGTGGTTGCACAAGTTTGCAGATTTTCTTAAGATGTATTTAAGTTATGTGTGCATAATGTTGAACTGTGCCTTGATTTAGTTAAAATTTTTCAGTTAACCAATCTTTAATAATCATGAAAATTTGATTTCTAAGCCCACTCCCTCAACATTTCCAAATGCCACTCAAAAACTGTAGCCTCCTGTTCTTCACTCCAAGATTCTAACTTGTTAAGTCCGCAAGGTGGACAGTGGAATGCATAGTATCTTTTCAAGCCCCCAGGTCGCTCCTGAGAGGCAGCCGGGTGTCAACCCTCTTCTGTGGAACCCAAACTCACAGAAAGCTTTGATTATCCAAAGCCTGCAGCAATACCAACGGGAATCAGCTGAAAGTCACATGCCCGAAGCAAAATATTGAACTAGAAGTAACCTAACACGTAGGGTCGAGAAATAGAGCCAGGGCTTACAAAAGAAAATAAAAACCCAGAAAGAAGCAAGGTTCATGAACCAGAAAAGGCGATCAGAATGTTGGAGGAAGAAATTGCTTAAAAGAACTCAACAAAAAGGCAAAGAAAGCTCAAGGGACAGAATTGTGGACTCAGTTTTGCTCTGGACTCTGAAAAGATTTTTATCTGTTTCAGGCTCTTTGCCTTTAGATTTGTGGATTTATGCAAATTCCTCCATGAAGTTCAGCACACTCAAGACAAAGCAGACTGTTTTTCTGGGCATCTAATGTTCAGCTGCAGACTGAGCAATCTCAGTGTTTCTCGTGTACGGCTGACTATTTCTGGATATAGTTTTGCATTGTTTCCTTAGATTTTTTTATTGTTATTCTTCTGTATATGTTCCTGGGTAAGATAATGTTCATCACATGCATGCAGGTGCCCAGGGAGTTGGGAGAGAACATCAGATCCCTAGATCTGGAGTTGCAGTTAATAGTGAGATGTCTAATAACGGTGCAGGAAGCATTATTAACCTCTGAGCCATATCTCTAGCCCATGGAGTTTTTGTGCCATTGAGCTATTTCAACTCTGAACTGTTACTTACCCAGGAGTAATGACTCCATAACACCAAGCTCACAATGAAAACTTTAAAAAAAAATAAAAGCAAAAAGAAAACAAATAAAAAAACAAATATAAACTTCAGGTAAATTAAAAGGACAGTTACTCTTTGGACAACAGTAAGACATTTATTTCTTTATAATTTGTATTCATTCATAAAAAGGAAAAACCACAGCCCTATACTACTCCATTGAAAAAATGATAAAAAATAACTAAAAAAATCAATTTGTTATTTATCAGTATCAAATAAAACTACTATTCCCTTTCCTGAAATACAAAGAAATCACAGATGTGTCTACAGCTATATAAAGTTTAATTAAGAATCTTGCATTTTAAAGCATATGATACATTGGTTAGCTTGACAACTGTTTAAAACCAATGGTCCCAGTCACTTCTGTACACTTATAGGAGAAAATGAAAAGCAGAAGTCATTAGTGCATGAGAGAGTTGAATCTATCCGCCACATACTGAAAACTAAACAACCTTCAAGTCTGTTTGCTTATCTTTCGGAACCATTTCATGCAAAAATCTAGCCAGTTTTGGTCTTTATTACCATATATTAGAAATTAAAAGGCAGGCATGCATTTGGCAAAAGATGTAGTCGTTACTGATGATATCAAATGCCCAACATGGGTCACTTCACAAGAGGAAAACCCCAAATGAAACAAGGAAAGCACAACATTTGTACAGAAAGCTAACAGAGTTTTCGTCTCCCTAAAGTATGAAGTCATTTTCTTCTTTTTCAAACCTTTAAATGTTTTACGAAATCTGTCGGTGATTGGTTGACATACTTCTGCTGGGAAGGCATTTGTCTTACTGATTTTTAAAAAGCTTCATTTGTATAACAAAGTGTTAAGTGTAAATCAATGAAATATTTATTGATATCTTCATAATGAGGACTTTAAACATTTACACATATAGTACAAAAATTATACAAATTAAAGATAGGGGTAAACATATTAATAGATCTATTTTTGCTTCCTGTAAATATTCTTTATGGACCTATAGGGTATCCTTTCTAAAAAGATAAACTCTTCTCTAATTAGCCAGCAAGATTGTGCTAATAAAATAGGATTAGACCTCTCAAGGAACCAAACATTGCACTATTCCAGGAGCCAGCTAATTCTTTCTTACCCGAGTTCTTTCACACCCACACTCAGACACATCTCCGTGCACACCATGGTAATGGGGAAACACAGGTTTCCCTTCCACACCTCACAAATTCCTGCACATGAACACTTGGGAGACATCCCTGGATAGGATACTGTCTACCTTTCCTGCCTCCCAACTTTGCATATTCTTTATAGGACCACTAGCAACATTCTGATTTGGTATTTTTAGCCAGTTTTTAGTATTGCATTGAAATGGGAAATGAGCTTTCAATTTCTTTCAAAGGAATTCTGTAGCTTTTTCAACCAGCATACGATTTCTTGATTCTACGCCTTCTATAGAGAGCTTAGACTTAGGCATGAAGCACAAAACCGGAGCAATGAGGACATTCAGAGCTTCTGACGCTGTACTGTCAGATACTACTAACTGTATACAGACGGTCACATTATAGTAAAAATGGAAGCACACTACTCCCCCGAACCTGTCATTCCACATATGAATAAACGCAGAAGTAGCCAGCACTCCACATTAGCTGTGAGCTCTGTGGCTTGGCATCGGTGAGAGGAAAAGCACAAAACAACTTCAGCTTAGAATACAAAAGTAAAAAAAAAAAAAAATCCTCACATGGCGTGTGAACTACAGCGTTAGAAAACGAACTGAAGGGCTTTACAGATTCTGAAAAGCAAATATGTAGAAAATTACTCCAAAAATAAGAATACTGATAGTAAGTTCTATAATTTGGTTTTCATAGTCAAAAACTTTCAACTCATTCATCAGAGTGATTTGGTAATGGTGTTTATGTCTAAACCTTTTCGTCCTGTTTTTGTTTTAATTTTATTGAAAACTCAAAAGATGATGAATGACAGGGGTCTTTCAAAAACACACAGTACCCCAAACAGATAGGCTAATATAAGAGACTGCGTTACTCTTACAAGTACCACATACAATCAACATTTCAACCTCTATTAAGTTTCACAACTTGTCATTAAATGTAAAGCACCCATGTATGGTGATTTTACTTTCATTCTACAGCCTATGGTATTGAATTGAACACTGTAACTTGTCCATTGAATTAAATCATGCAACTTTCACAGAATCAGGTTAAATGGTTTATAAGGCATATTGGAACGAGTTAAAAATCATTTTGTTTCCATTGAAAAGTTATTCTTTTGGAGGAAAGGGTTCCTGAATGCCTCAGTCATAATGTGTTGGAAATCAGTTGAATAGCTTGTTAGAGTCTAATTTATTTGGTTTAGGATGGAGCCACAGGGATTAGAAGGAATTACAGTCATCCCAGGATGAAGGGCGTCCTCTGAGCTGGGCTGGGAACAGCAGATGCCACAACATTCAGAATTCCAAGTAGACAAGGAAGCCAAGGGAGGGCAGTAGCAAGCTGAGGAGACTTGACGAGAGCATGGACACACCTGCAAACAAACCAAAGCACGCTTGTCATTTCACTAGTGACACTCACTCCTGTTCCCCCAGTCTGTTTGGAGAAGGCAAAATGGTATTGCCCTGAAAATCAAATGTTCCTTTATGGCAAAATAAATGTCTCTTCTTCTTAATGATGAGAGGAATAAAAACATTTGATCAAAGATTTTGTGTGGGAGATTGTGTGCATGATCTCTACATTGTGTTAAATTAAATCATTAAAATAATAACACTGAAATACTAATGTTGTCTCAAACTTCCACCAGGAGGTAAATGATCAAGAAGTACCATAAAGAGGTGAAAAGCAAACACCATATGTGAGGGCACAGATATCATCTGTGCCATTTCAAAGTACTTTCTGCATTCTTGCTGGCTTTCATTTTCTATTTTTCTGCATATTAAAAAATTAAGCTTTATTCAATTATGCAGGACCTCAACACTGCGCCGACAGAGGTAAGGAAGCTTTGAACAATTTTTACCCAGTCGTATTGGCAGACTTGACAGCAGCAGCTAGGAACCTCACCCATCTGTCTGTCAGGTCATTCAGGAGCCTGAGAAATTGCCCTCTGGGTCCCCAGAGTAAACCTGGGAAGCACATGGTACAGTTTGAAGGGCAGCTTTCAGCACATCAGAGACTGGAAAGGGGGCGTGGAATCTGATCACATGACAGACTTTTTCTCTGAGGGAGCAAAATTATTTTTTCAGGGGCTGGCCCAAAAAGGGAAATACACACACACACACACACACACACACACACACACACACACACACAATCTTCAACATACCAGGGTCTCTCATCTTTGTTTGTTCTCTTACCTCTTTCCTGATGGTTTCCTTCTATATCTATTTTTTCCTTAGTGCTTATATATCTCAGCAAATCTTTCAAGCAATATAAAAATTACAATGTTGTTACATTCTATTTTTCAAGTGAATGATTACAATGAATACAAGTGAAAACCAGCATGTTCCCCATTTCCTTTACATGGTTAAATATTTTATGTGTTACATGTGAAAAAAGTATTTCCAAAGACCGACATACATTTATGGCTAAGCAACTCATAGATTAACAAAGTATTGATTTTTTCGAGGTAGGGTTTTTCTGTAGCTTTGGAGCCTGTCCTGGAATTAGCTCTTGTAGCCCAGGCTGGCCTTGAACTCACAAAGATCCCCCTGCCGAGTGCTGGGATTAAAGGTGTGTGCCACCACTGCCCAGTTGGCAGGCTACATTTTGCAGTTACAAAGGATCAATCATTTTATTACTTATCTCAAAAGGTAATCTTATAAAAAAAACCTTAAAAGAATCATCAATCTAAGCATCACATATAAAAACATTTATTCATTTCTACTTTAAATCCTCAGGGTACATACTGATTCACAACAGTTTTTTATTAAATTATATCAGGAAGCTGAGGACAAAAATGGGTACGAGGAATTAATCATCACCTTTGATCACCAACCCATCTTCAGCAAGAAAGGTAAATGAGCCAGCAATAACCAGGCTGCCATTGTCATTCTTCCCTGACCTCCACAAGTACCCAAAGTGTGCCTTTCTAAACCTTAAATCATTCCCTCATATTTTTACATCAAAGCCATTAACAAAAACATTTTATCCTAACTTTACTAACAATCCACTTCTCTAAATTCTTTCTAAGAGTGATGGTTGAACCATTAATCTGCTCCAGCAGCAATGTCTTGGAAAACTCCATTCCTATTACTGTAAATACCAGTGGCCTTGGTGGTGAGGGGCTAGAAACACCTGAGAGTTTTCATGCAACCCATAGACTGTGAGGGTCGTGGTAACTGTGAGGTTGTCTACAACAACCACAACTCGGAAGATGAAAAATAGGGAAGGAGACTAGCAAGGGTGGTAACTGCACTTAAGAAACAGACTAAAGGAGACCAAGAAAAAGTAGGCCTGGGGATAAGGAGAAGGAGCAATATGCTTGCTATAAGCAAGAGGGTACATTGGAAGAATGGATGCCCAAACCAGAAGGAAAAGAAGAAAATCCCTTCAGTCCTCCTTGAGGGAGACATGACAGGATCAGGGCTCTATCACATTTTGCCTGCAGGAGATAAGGATCACAGCAAAGATAGGGCACAAATCCATTGAGTTCATAGCAGACCCAAGACTAGTCCACTCTATTCTGATGTAGTCTCTTGGTCCAGTCACCTCCCAGAAGATGGCAGACCAAGGGGCACCTGCACAGGCTGCCTATTTTCCCTGAATGACATCTCAGACTGTAGACCTGGGACAGAGTACTGTGGTTCACTCTGTCTTAGAGCTGATTGTCCCTACTCCATGATTGTAAAGGACCTGCTAAGAAAATGGAAGGCCACCATGTCTTTCGGAGAAGAGGAGTCTAATTTGCCTTGGACAAAGGTCAAACCTTGGCCACATTCTAGTGACCAGCTCTCTATTGGAGGGAACATCAACAAATGGTCTGAGAAAACTGGATGTCCACTTGTAGAAAAATGAAATTAGATCTGTATATGTCACCTTGTAGAAATACAAACTCCAAGTGGATCAAAGACCTGAATGTGAAACCAAAATACTGAACCCTCTGGAAAAAGTCATAGACAGTACCTATAGGATACTGATGCAGAACTTTCTGAAGAAGGCTGCAGTTGGACAAGCATTAAGGTCAATAATTGACTTTATAAAGCTGAATACTTTCCGCACAGCTAATAAAGCAATCAGTTGGGTCAATATAAAGTCCATAGAATTGGAATCTTTGTCAGCTATATATTTGACAGAGGTTAATAACCAAAATATATATAAAACTAAAAAAAATAAAACAAAGTCAGAAAAAAAAAACTGGACTTGGGATCTGAACTGATAGTTCTCAAAAGAAGGGGAAAATGCCTAAGAAATGCCAAAAATAAGTTTACCATTCCTTAGCCATTAGGAAAATGCAAATCAAAATGGCTTTGGGATTCCAGGATATCCCAGCTCAAATGGCAAAGATCAACAGAACAACAGAAAATAACAGCAAATGCTGGAGGAGATGGTCCGGCCACTCTGGAATCAGTGTGGATAATTCTCAGAAAACTAAAAATTAATCTACCATATAACTCAGCTATACCATTCCTTGACATACACCCAAGGACTTGACAACTTGTTCCATAGAAGCAACTTCAGCCCATGTTTATTGTTGTGCTATTCACAACAGTTAAGAGGTGGGAACAACCTAAATCTTCTACAGCTGGCAAATGGATAATAAAAATGTGATATATACATACCATGAATAATAATTAGCTACAAAAGAAAAACTGAAATTCTGCAATGTTTAGGTAAGTTGATAGAACTAGGAAAGATCTTATTGATGAGGTAATGCAGAAAGACAAACGTCTCCTCTACTCTCTCATTGAGGCTCCTAGATTTCAATGTTCAGATGTGGATATGTATCCTGTAGTAACTGTAGAAACCAATAGAGTAAAACAGGACCATTTCCAGAGAGGGTTGGATATGGGAGCAATAGAAAGGGGAATTGCAGGGCACAAGTGATCTGATGTGACAAGGTTGGGGAAAATGAGGGTCTTTAATTGGTGAGGAGGGAAATAGAGAGGAAGAATGGAGATGAACAAAATAAATGTAAGTATGTCTGGAAAAGTCACAAGGATTCATACTATTAACCATCTATCTAAAAATATGTATATCACAATACGTTGGTATATACATATACACGCATAGTTTAAATTAAATTTTCCCATCTGAGCTGACAATGTTCCCTCCAAGAGCTTATGAACATCTTACTAAAACCTCAACATCAGGCATGAGCATTCTATTTTTGAGTTATTGATCTGCTTTATCCAAGAGACTCCCAAAATATTATCAACTATAGTAAATTCCTTTGGTTGCCCCTCAGAGGTGGAAGGCAAGTCCCTGTTGCTGAACACATCATGAACTTCAAACATAGGACCTAGAGGCCCCTGAGCTGGAACTGCTCTGAATTCTCCTTGAGGACTAGCTTTCATGGTACCAGATAGCACCATGTAAGATTCTAAAAGAAGGAAGCAACCAATAGTCCTACATAGCTATGTAGGATGACCATGAACCATATCGATGACCAACTAGCATGGAATCATAATCCTATGGATGCATTAGTGGCACACATACTTTTAGTAACCAATAGTTGTCTACTTGAGGAAATGAGAGTTAACTCACATCTGGTACTGGAAACCTAGCTAACTATCCAGAACTAGTGAATTCATGAATCTTGGAGGAGAATCTTCAACCGCCACTTCATTAAAACAGTGCAATTCATAACTCCATTCTAAATATTTGTTTTCACACATGCAGATAAGCACTGACCTCATCTTTCTTTAAGGAAATGTCTCTTTGGAACAGGTGGAGACTGATACAGAAAACCACAACCAGTCAAAGTTGTGGAGCCGAGTTCCAATGGATACATCCACCATGGAGCTTTTGTACCCAAGGCTTAGGAATCAGTATATAAAACAGAGTGGAAAGGCTGTGAGAGCCAGAGGATCATGAATTTTACCATGAAACTGTGTCTTCTAATAATGTCAGAAGTGACACATAAAAAAACATGAGTAGAATGAGGACAACAAGCCTGCTAGCCCTCAGCCCTACAAAAAAACAACAAGCAACTAAGGAATGTTCAGAGAAGAAGAAGTAATCTTTCTCAGAGTAGAGCACATTAAAGGGTTATATAACACCTAATGATAAGCCCTGAAAACATAGAAACAGGAAGTTCTATGCAGACTGAGCAGACTAGGGTTATGCATTTAGGAATACATACATACATACAGACAAAAACAGACACACACACACGCACACACAAGTAAGAAACAATAATTAATGAAAAAGAGACCATGGATTTGAAAGAGATCAAGGGGGGTAATACAGAAGGATTTAGGAAGAAAAGGAAAGTAGAAAATGATGTAATTACATTATAATCTCGAAAATAAAGGAAATTTTAAAAAGTAGTCAGTGAGGGCCAAAACTTGAGAACTGAATATCAAAGGCCCC